TCAATTTAAGGAAATCTTACTTTTTGCGATCGAAGCAGAAGCCTTTCTCGTTCCTCTTCAAAAAGCAATTCTTAACACAAACTGCAAAACCACCGACAGTCCCAAGAATTCGTTTCAGTGGTATAGCAGCTGCATCTACGATGATATCCACTTGACTGGTGATTGATTCTTCACCCAGTCGAAACAATTCACTGATATTTGCTTTTGGTATTGTTGGTCCGTTCTTTGAAGTAACGCATCTAAAGTATTCATTACCTTCTGATTACATCTGCAAACTCCACATGCTCGTTCACCTTATAAGGAATCACGATTGTCAATGTAGTAAACGTCTTCGGGGCTTTTCATTTTTGGAAATAGCCGGAACGGGCTGAATTATTCAGAATCCTTTCATATGGAATTATTCAGAAGGTTTTGAAAGCAGTCAAACGAAACTTACGAATCAAGATTTTCTTCGAAACAAACAAGAATTCTTTCGAGCAGAGCATCCTTTCGAGCAAAACAGTCTTTCAGATAGTCCGGATGCTTTGTTATCTGAAATTTTCTGCCGAATTAGACAAGAAATGAAGCTTCCGTTACCTATTATGTAATATGGCCAATGGTTGTAGGATAACCGCCTCGGGACAATTGGCGTCGAAGACAACTACTCCTGGATAATTACCATCGGCCTCTTTACGGTTAGCCACAGCCATACCTGAGGTTCGGCCATGGCCTCGAGATAAATTTCAGCTTAAGCCTAAGTGTCAGCCATAGCCTAAGCATCAACCTCAATCCAAGCCTGTGCACCATTTTCTATTTGAAGAAAAAAACATCTTGAAATGATTCGTATAATTGGCATTACGCTATTCCAGCCTATCAGTTTTGTGTATACAAACATATTGTGTCATTGAAAGTCCTCTTTTTGTGTATACAATTATATTAACCTCAGTCTGAGCCTAGGCCGGAGTATAAGAATTTAGTAATAATGACTGCATTATTGATAGTAATGATCGAAGGAACTCATGTTTACGATAATGATTGTGATGAAGGTAAGCTATGGGTAACGGCAATTATCCGCGGGGCATTTACCCGAGAAGGGCACCTATCTGGGGAAGGGGGAAGCAGTTGTCCTCCAGTATTGTGGTTCGGGGTGATTGTCTAGGTTAATTGTCTCGGGTTAACTGTCTGGATATATACATATGACCGGCATGAGCACTCATGAAAATAACAGCTTTGGATAAGAGCTATCCACGGCCGGCTTTTTTCGTGTTACCGTGTCATGATAAGAGGTGACCGTCTGAAAAGATAGTCACTTCTCACGAACCTCTTTAAATTGCATCCAACAGCTATCGATGCATTTCAATGCTTGTACACTCATTTCCGTACCACATTCGTGTTGTTCACTACACGAGCACTGTCGTACATCACGACCAGCAATTTTTGACTCATTCAGCACTCGTTTACTCTGCTTAACAACCTACAACTTGGCTTCCTTGGATAAAATTACATTACAATTTAAAATATTATGAATTTGAAAGTCCGCTTTATGTGTTGTATACGTTTACATTTATGATCGTATAGTGGAGCTGCTAATATTTCGCATTTTGTTTTTATTGATTGAATAATAATCACTGAATGATAAAACAGATTGGCTGAAAAACACCATCTGCGATCGGCAGCCAACACTGGTTGGAAATCTTTAAAGCACTGCACGACAACTTCAGAAATGTCATTAGTCTCAGTGAATATTTGAATCAATGAAATAGATAAATGTCAGTTTTCAGAGTGACTTCTTGAACTGCATCGTTAACAAGTTCTTTAACTGTGAAGAAGATATTTGGGTCGTGTGTCAAATACATCAAGATAAAGTAAAGTCAATTCATGAGCAGATAAGATAAAGTGAGTTGTTAAAAGATAGACGAAACCTGATCGAAAACATCGATTTGATATGAGAATACGAAGAGCTGAGCGATAATGATCAATAGACAAGCGTAGGAGCACATCATTCTGCTAATTTGTTAACAGTAACAAAATAATAGCAGCAACAATGTCTTCAGAAAACAGCGAAAGCAATCAACCAATTTGTTGTTTGGCGCATACGACAAAAGTTGTTGTGCTCATTTATAAGCAGCACCAACAGGAAGCGAGTTTGCTGACAGATTTACGTTGAATCAGTTTTTGAACACTGAAAGCGTATGTTCAATTTGTTTATGTGTGTTGTTATTTCAATTTGACATGACATCATGGGTACTTCTCCACATTGCATCAATTATTTGTCGATCCTCAATGATCCTAAAAAAATTCCTTTCCACTCTTTTACTTGCCTCCTCCCCCCACCCTCCACCTCTTCCAAAACTAGAAGTTAATCATTCACTTCACTGTGATGTGTAGACCAATCAATTTTTCACAGCACCATTTTCTACCATTGAAGAAAAAACATCTCAAATTGATCTGCCTAATTGGCATCATCACACTATTCTAGCCTATCAGTTGAACCTAGCAATTCATACTAGGTTCTTTTGATTACAGTTGATTCTCATTTTATAATTACACACAACAGTGCAAATTGTATCATTCATTGAAATCTTAGTAATTAATCAGCTATCATAAATGGAATAGGTGATGATTGATTGATGTGATTTGA